GTGTGTGTACACGTGTGTGTGTGTACACGTGTGTGTGTGTATACGTGTGTGGGTAAACGTGTGTGTGCACGTGCGTGTGTAAACGTGTGTGTGCACGTGCGTGTGTAAACGTGTGTGTGTGTAAACGTGTGTGTGCACGTGCGTGTGTAAACGTGTGTGTGTGTAAACGTGTGTGTGCACGTGCGTGTGTAAACGTGTGTGTGTGTAAACGTACGTGTGTGTGTATACACGTGTGTGTACGCGCGTGTGTTAACGAGTGTTTTTACACGTGCGTACATGTGTCTACACGCGTGCCTGTGTTTGTACACGTGTGTGTACACGTCTGTGTGTACACGCGTGTATGGCTATAGGTTTAAAAAAACACGTGTGCGTGTACACGTGCTGTACAATGTACGTGGGTATGTGCGTACACGTGGGTATTGCATACACGTGTGCGCGTACACGTGTGAGTATGAACAAGTGTGTGTGCACGTGTACACGGGTGTATGTATGGGTGTGTTCACATGTGTGTGTTCACGTGTATGGCTATAAGTCCTTCAACACGTGTGTGTGTACACGCGTGTGTGTATATATACGAGCGTGGGGAGCGGTGGTGCAGCGGTTAGCGCTACGCTGCGCTACGAACCCGGCGACCCGAGTTCGATTCCCGCTCACGGCCAACACCAGTGACGATTTTCTGAACCGGTCCTGGGCCTCCTCTGTGTCGACTCAGCCTCAAACGAGTACCAGGAGCGGTGTATAAACATCGCCACTAGGGAAGACAAAGGCGGGAGGCGTGGTGCTGGCCTCCCACCCCCTTGTGTGCCGTTCCGGCCTTCATAGGTGCTACTCGCTAACAGCACTTGCCCCTACAGTCTGTTACAGGCTACACGGGGGATCTTAGTCTTCGTATGCATGTCTTTGTTGTACACACGTGTGTGTGAACACGTGTGTGTATGTGTATGTATGTTGGTGCCGAACGGCAACGCTGTGGTGGGCAGTGCCGTGGGGGGGAGGGCCAACTTAGATTCGCCATTCCCCTCATGGCGTCTGTGACAATCCACAGCGGTCAAATGGGGGCTCTGGACGGGTGCGAGGGGCTGGTAACCCCTCCACCTTCAATTAATTACCATCAAACCACGATTTAAAATTTGTATTAAGCTTTTGCCGGAGGCCCCGGGGTGACAGGCGTCTATGACGTCTCCTGGCCAAACCCCAATTGGCGGAGGCAGGAGACTGAATCCTTACCCTCGGGGCTCCTCCAGAAACAACAAAAAACCACTACGGGTGGCCACGCATAATGTTCGAAGGCTCACTGCAGAGGAGAGGCTGCCACTCCTCTGCTGGGAGCCGGACCGGTACCGTCAAGATCTCTATGGTATTCAGGAGGTCCGGTGGACCGGCTCTGGCTCCTGCCACCATGAGGGGTGAACAGTCCTCTACTCGGGGCAGGAGACTGCCAGGGAGTGGCTCTTCTTCTGAACAAAAGAATGAAGGGGGCATGTGAGCGTGGCGGAGAGGTGTGGGAAGCTGTATGCCCCAGGCTACTTTGGGCTCGCCTTCCCATCAACCAGAGGCGAGGAGTGGTGGTCGTGGTTACTTACGCCCCCACGGAAGACGAACATCCGTGGAGGGATGCAGGCAAGGCCGATGAGTCAGATGCCTTCTATGACCTCCTGTCACAGGTGCTGGCTAAAGTGGCCCCTCGGGATAGAGTCATCTTGTTGGGTGACTTCAATGCTCCAGTTGGTCATGATGCTGGCACCTGGTCTAGAGTGATTGGAAGGCATGGGCCAGATCAGCTCGATAACAACGGTAGGAGGCTGCTAGATTTGTGTGCAGCCCATGGGCTTGTAATTACAAACACGCTGTTCCGGCATCGCCACATCCACACAACATCATGATGCATGCCGGGTCCAAGCAAGAACATCGGCTGGACTACATAGTGACAGAACAGCGTATGCGGGCCCATGTCCTTGACACCAGGACCTACCGTGGAGCTGATCTGCCCACTGACTATCGACTTGTCATCTGCCATTCTTCCACTCCGGTGGTGGGTGTACACCCAGGACCCCATTCAACCCCATAGTGGCATGGTCTCAGCTAGCTGATGAAAGCTGCAAGCGAGAATTTCATCATCACTTGCGGCTGGGGTTGGCATCGTCCCTGACTCCTCCTGATGTCGAGGGTAAATGGGCGAGGTTTAGGACTGTGACTCATGCAGCTGCAATGGCTGCTTTGGGTATGCAGTCCAGACCTCCCCAGAGACCCTGGCGACAGAGGAGGTGTTCAGGCTGGCTGAGAAAAAGCGACAGGCCCACCGTCATCGGTTACAGAATCCCACGTCAGAGATTGATGAGGCTTACCGCAGCCTTCGCTCGGAGGTTCGGAGAGCCGTGAGGCGCTGCAAGGATGGGTGGTGGTCGCGGGTTGCTGAGGAGATGGAGTCTGCCTCAGTGGCCCGCGATCACAAATCGCTCTTCAACTCCATCCAAAAAATAACCTGCAGCGCCACACCTATTACCATCATTAGGGTAAAGAACGGTGATCAATTATCCGACCCCCAAGAACAGGTTTGCAGATTTGCTGAACATTTCTGTGAGGTTCTGGGGGAGGGGAAATCCCTCGGCCTGGAAAACATCGTGGGACAAAGTAGGGATGATCCTGCTGAGGCTGCGGTGCCTCAAATAATGGAAGAAGTCACCCCCTGTGAGTGGCTGGCTGAGGTGCCATCTGTTGAGGAAGTACTGAAGGTGATCCGGAGTCTGAGACCAGGAAAGGCACCAGGCAGAGATGATCTCCCAAGCGAAATGCTGAGGGAGGGTGGCGTTTATGCACAGACTGCCCTACATAACATAATAACAGTCTGGACCACTGGACGGGTTCCGCAGGATTGGAAGAATGTCCTGGTGGTCCCCCTTTTTTGAAGGGGGACTGCACAGACTGTAATAACTACAGGGGCATCTCCCTCCTCAGTGTGCCGGGAAAGGTCCCGACAAGGATTATTCAACATCGCCTTGCGAGGCACGCTGAGGAGAGGCTTGCAGAGCCCCAATGCGGTTTCAGGAAAGGGCAGTCCTCCACAGATGCTATATTTTCTGTCCGTCTGTTACAGCATTGACCTGGTCAAGGCCTATGATACCATCAGTAGGCCTGGGCTCTGGGTTGTTATTCGTGCTTTCAGAGTCCCTGACCCTCTGCTCACGATCATTAAGGACCTTCATGATGGTGAGCGGGCTCGGGTAAAACTATGTGGCCGGGAGTCGGAGGCATTCCCTGTTCACCTTGGGGTGCGACAAGGATGCCCTCTGGCTCCCAAATTATTTAACATCTATTTCGACCACGTAGTTCGTGAAGCCTTCAATAGCTGTCCCGGAGGAATTTCCATCTGGTGCAGACACAATGGGAGGCTGATCGATGCCCGGGTGCAGTCAAGGGATGGCTTCCTAATGCTCAACCATGTTATGTATGCCAATGATCTGGTAATTGCTGCTCACTCAGAGGAGGAGTTGGAGGCGCTGCTGCTGAACCTGGAGCTTGCCACTAAGAGGTGGGGCCTTACCATCAGCCCCACCAAAACTAAGCACCTGCCTGGGTATTTTGTACCATCGGACACTCCACCCCCACAACTTCCAATTGGTGATAGGGCAGTTGTGGAGAGAGTGGAGAGTTTCCCATACCTGGGCAGTGTGCTTATGACCGGCTCCAGTTTGAGAGCAGAGGTCTCACTCCGAATTAGTCGAGCAGCAATAGCTTTTCATCGGTTGCATAACACTGTGTGGAAACAACCTGGTCTGTCGCTCCGCACGAAGCTTTAGGTCTTCTCGGCCACGGTCATTCCCTCCCTTCTCTACGCTTGCGAAACGTGGACCCCCTTAATGGAACATCTTCGCCGGTTAGAAATGTTTAGGCTGGCCTGCCTACGATCCATCCTGGGTTTAACCAGGCTGGATTGTGTGAGGAGCTCACATATCCTTGAAAGATCTGGACAAAGTCCCATCGGTGAGCTCCTCCGGCAGGCAAGGCAGTGTTGGCTGGGTCATGTAGTCCGCATGCCCAGCCACCGCATGCCTAAACAGCTTTTGTTCGGCCGGATAGAGGAGGCTACACGGGCACCGCACGGGCTAGGGAAGAGATGGAGTGATTTGGTACAGGAGGATGTGGAGCTGAGTGGACTTGCCGATGACTGATACCAGCAGTGTCAAGATCGGCCTCTGTGGAGCGAGGCTCGTGAAGGACGCTACTGGGCAGTTGGAGGCAGTCGCCCTCAAATAACAATGGAGGGTGGATGAGCGACGCTCACAACAACGAGCGGAGCGCTGGGTGGCTAAAGCACAGGAAGTTGGCACAGTCGGGGGCACAGGTGGTGCATCTGCCAGTCATCTCAGTCATCTCAGTCAGTCGACCCGTGGCACCTGGGTCTGCCCCGTGACCTCCTGACCGCGGGCGTTCGACACTTCACGTGGCCTCAAGGTGCACATGGCCTGGCACAAGCGTCGTGGTGACGTCACTGCCACTTAGTGGCGAATGGCGGTTCTTGTTTTATGTATATATGTGTGTGTATATATGTGTGTGTGTGTACACGTGTGTGTGTACGTGTACACGTGTATGGCTATAGGTCCTTTTCAACATTGCCTATGTACACGTGTGGGGGAGGGGGAGCAGTGGTGCAGCGATTAGCGCACTGCGCTACAAAACCGAGTTCGGTTCCCGCTCACGTACGAACATCAGTGACAGCGCATAACTGGACCGGTCCTGGTCCTCCCCTGGGTCGACTCAGCCCTAAATGAGTACCTGGTGCGGTGTGTGTAAACATCAGCATTGGGAATACAAAGGCGGTCGGGCTGGGCTGGTGCTGGGCACACCACCACCACCACCACCACCTCCACCTACTAAGCACTTGCCCCAACAACCTGGGTGGGCTACCTGGGGCACCTTTGCCTGTGTGTGTGTGTGTAACAATTGGACGTCTTCAAGTTTCAAGAGTAATTTCACTTTAAAGTTAAGACCACAATTAATACAAAAAAATAGATTCTACCACGAATAACAATCGTGGGTCACTTACAAGTAGATATTATAATACTGCTGTGCCAGGCTAGGTTACCCTGGGGTTAATACATCTTGGGTCTGTGTGCGTGTGTGGATGTATACGCAGTGCAATGCTCTTCGCAAATCCATCATCAATACTTTCTAAGGCACGCGCGTGTGTGCGTGTGTGCGTGTGTGCGTGTGTGTGTGTGTGTCATCTGCAAGCAGCTGCCTGTGCGTTTGTGCAATAGTCTGCTGGTCTGTACGCGTGGGAGTGTGCGCGTGTGTGCGCCGATCTGTGCATGCAACAGATTCAAACTCTCCTCTAATCGCACCTCCACTTCGCCCGTGTGTGCGTGGGAGAGCGAGTGCCTGCCAGTGCGTTTGTGCACGCACGCACACACACACACACACGCACCTTGCCAGGGCGTTTGTGCTGCGAGCCGAAACTTGCCCCTTTTTTTTTGTTCTTAGCGCAACAAACACCTGCTTGGCCGCTCGCCTGCCAGTGCGTTTGTGCGCGCGCACACACGCACGCACCTGTCGGTGCGTTTGTGCACAATAACCTGCCGGTGCGTTTGTGCACAATAACCGGTCGGTGCGTTTGTGCACAATAACCTGCCGGTGCGTTTGTGCACAATAACCTGCCGGTGCGTTTGTGCACAATAACCTGCCGGTGCGTTTGTGCACAATAACCTGCCGGTTCCGTTTGTGCACAATAACCTGTCGGTGCGTTTGTGCACAATAACCTGCCGGTGCGTTTGTGCACAATAACCTGTCGGTGCGTTTGTGCACAATAACCTGCCGGTGCGTTTGTGCACAATAACCTGTCGGTGCGTTTGTGCACAATAACCTGCCGGTGCGTTTGTGCACAATAACCTGCCGGTGCGTTTGTGCACAATAACCTGCCGGTGCGTTTGTGCACAATAACCTGTCGGTGCGTTTGTGCACAATAACCTGCCGGTGCGTTTGTGCACAATAACCTGCCGGTGCGTTTGTGCACAATAACCTGTCGGTGCGTTTGTGCACAATAACCTGTCGGTGCGTTTGTGCACAATAACCTGCCGGTGCGTTTGTGCACAATAACCTGCCGGTGCGTTTGTGCACAATAACCTGTCGGTGCGTTTGTGCACAATAACCTGTCGGTGCGTTTGTGCACAATAACCTGCCGGTGCGTTTGTGCACAATAACCTGCCGGTGCGTTTGTGCACAATAACCTGCCGGTGCGTTTGTGCACAATAACCTGTCGGTGCGTTTGTGCACAATAACCTGTCGGTGCGTTTGTGCACAATAACCTGTCGGTGCGTTTGTGCACAATAACCTGTCGGTGCGTTTGTGCACAATAACCTGTCGGTGCGTTTGTGCACAATAACCTGCCGGTGCGTTTGTGCACAATAACCTGCCGGTGCGTTTGTGCACAATAACCTGTCGGTGCGTTTGTGCGCACACACACACACCTGCCAGTGCGTTTGTGCGCGCACACACACACACACACACCTGCCGGTGCGTTTGTGCGAGGAACTTCAAACACACGCCCTCGAGTCTACGTGTTCGAGCGACGTCCGCCCGCCCGCCCCGCCGTTGCGCTCACGGGCTGCGCCTGCCTGTGCGTGTCAGTGCGAGGAGGAGGAGGAGGAGGAGGAGGACGAGGAGGAGGAGGAGGAGGAGGCGCAGGTGCCTTCCTCGTGCTTGTTGAGCAGCGACATGCGCGAGAAGGTCTTGGCGCAGCGCAGGCAGTGGTACTTCTTCACCTCCGAGTGCGTCTGCAGGTGAGCTCGCAGGTTCGAGCGGTCGGCGAACGCGCGGTTGCAGTGCGGGCACGAGAAGGGCTTCTCGCCTGCACCACCACGCACGCGCGGGCGGGCGGGCGGGCGGGAGAGGAGACGGGGAGGGTGGTGGGAGTGGGAGGGAGGGAGTGGGGAGGGAGTGGGAGGGAGTGGGGGAAGGGGGGAGTGGGGAGGGAGTGGGAGGGAGGGAGTGGGGAGGGAGTGGGGAGGGAGGTGGGAGTGGGAAGGAGGAGGGAGGAGTGGGAGGGAGTGGGAGGGGGGGAGGGAGGGGGGAGGGAGGTGGGAGTGGGAGGGAGGGAGGGGGAGGGAGTGGGGAGGGAGTGGGAGGGAAGGAGGGGGAGGGAGGTGGGAGGGAGGTGGGAGGGAGTGGGGAGGGAGTGGGAGGGAGGGGGGGGGAAGGGGGGAGTGGGAGGGAGGGAGTGGGGAGGGAGTGGGGAGGGAGTGGGAGGGAGGGGGGAGGGAGTGGGAGGGAGGGAGTGGGGAGGGAGTGGGGAGGGAGTGGGAGGGAGGGAGGGGGGAGGGAGTGGGGAGGGAGTGGGAGGGAGTGGGAGGGAGTGGGAGGGAGGGAGTGGGGAGGGAGTGGGGAGGGAGTGGGAGGGAGGGGGGGACGGGGGGAGTGGGGAGGGAGTGGGGAGGGAGGAGTGGGAGGGAGTGGGAGGGAGTGGGAGGGGGGAGGGAGGTGGGAGTGGGAGGGAGGGGGAGGGATGAAGGAGGGCGTGGGGAGGGAGTGGGAGGGAGGAGTGGGAGGGAGGAGGGGGGAGGGAGGTGGGAGTGGGAGGGAGGGGCCACACGTGTGAATCAATCGCGAGCTCGAAGGCACGTGCTGGCTTTATACACAAATACACAAAGTGGGAGCGCACGCACTCGTGATGGGCGCCTCGCCTGCACCACAAACGCACGGCAGGTCGAGAAGACTGCGAGGAGCCCACGAAATGTCAGAGGCGCGGCCATTGTGAACCGAGTGTAGGTGACGTGTCTCTATTCACGTCTATGGGTCTCTGTGTGTGAGTCTATGGGTCTCTGTGTGTGAGGCTATGGGTCTCTCTGTGTGAGCCTATGGGTCTCTGTGTGAGTCTATGGGTCTCTGTGTGAGTCTATGGGTCTCTGTGTGAGTCTATGGGTCTCTCTGTGTGAGTCTATGGGTCTCTCTGTGTGAGTCTATGGGTCTCTCTGTGTGAGTCTATGGGTCTCTGTGTGAGTCTATGGGTCTCTGTGTGAGTCTATGGGTCTCTGTGTGAGTCTATGGGTCTCTGCGTGAGTCTATGGGTCTCTCTGTGTGAGTCTATGGGTCTCTCTGTGTGAGTCTATGTGTCTCTGTTTGTGAGTCTATGGGCCTCTCTTTGTGAGTCTATGGGTCTCTGTGTGAGTCTATGAGTCTCTGTGTGAGTCTATGGGTCTCTCTGTGTGAGTCTATGAGTCTCTGTGTGAGTCTATGGGTCTCTCTGTGCAAGTCTATGAGTCTCTGTGTGAGTCTATGGGTCTCTGTGTGAGTCTATGGGTCTCTGTGTGAGTCTATGAGTCTCTGTGTGAGTCTATGGGTCTCTGTGTGAGTCTATGGGTCTCTGTGTGAGTCTATGGGTCTCTGTGTGAGTGAGTCTATGTGTCTCTGTGTGAGTGAGTCTATGTGTCTCTGTGTGAGTGAGTCTATGGGTCTCTGTGTGAGTCTATGGGTCTCTGTGTGAGTCTATGGGTCTCTGTGTGAGTGAGTCTATGTGCCTCTGTGCGAGTGAGTCTATGAGTCTCTGTGTGAGTCTATGGGTCTCTGTGTGAGTGAGTCTATGGGTCTCTGTGTGAGTGAGTCTATGGGTCTCTATGTGAGTGAGTCTATGGGTCTCTGTGTGAGTGAGTCTATGGGTCTCTGCGTGAGTGAGTCTATGGGTCTCTGCGTGAGTGAGTCTATGGGTCTCTGTGTGAGTGAGTCTATGGGTCTCTGTGTGAGTGAGTCTATGGGTCTCTGTGTGAGTGAGTCTATGAGTCTCTGTGTGAGTGAGTCTATAGGTCTCTGTGTGTGTGAGTCTATGGGTCTCTGTGTGAGTGAGTCTACGAGTCTCTGTGTGAGTCTATGGGTCTATTGGTCTCTGTGTGAGTGAGTCAATGGGTCTCTGTGTGAGTGAGTCTATGAGTCTCTGTGTGAGTGAGTCTATGGGTCTCTATGTGAGTGAGTCTATGGGTCTCTATGTGAGTGAGTCTATGGGTCTCTATGTGAGTGAGTCTATGGGTCTCTGTGTGAGTGAGTCTATGGGTCTCTATGTGAGTGAGTCTATGGGTCTCTGTGTGAGTGGGTCTATGAGTCTCTGTGTGTGTGAGTCTGTGGGTCTCTGTGTGAGTGAGTCTATGGGTCTCTATGTGAGTGAGTCTATGGGTCTCTGTGTGAGTGAGTGTATAGGTCTCTGTGTGAGTGAGTCTATGGGTCTCTATGTGAGTGAGTCTATGAGTCTCTGTGTGAGTGAGTCTATGGGTCTATGGGTCTCTGTGTGAGTGAGTCTATGGGTCTCTGTGTGAGTGAGTCTATGGGTCTCTATGTGAGTGAGTCTATGAGCCTCTGTGTGAGTGAGTCTATGGGTTTCTGTGTGAGTGAGTCTATGGGTCTCTGTGTGAGTGAGTCTATGGGTCTCTATGTGAGTGAGTCTATGGGTCTCTATGTGAGTGAGTCTATGGGTCTCTGTGTGAGTGAGTCTATGGGTCTCTGTGTGAGTGAGTCTATGGGTCTCTGTGTGAGTGAGTCTATGGGTCTCTATGTGAGTGAGTCTATGGGTCTCTGTGTGATGAGTCTATGGGTCTCTGTGTGTGTGAGTCTATGGGTCTCTATGTGAGTGAGTGTATGGGTCTATGGGTCTCTGTGTGAGTCTATGTGTCTCTGTGTGAGTGAGTCTATGGGTCTATGGGTCTCTGTGTGAGTGAGTCTGTGGGTCTCTGTGTGATGAGTCTATGGGTCTCTGTGTGAGTGAGTCTATGAGTCTCTGTGCGAGTGAGTCTATGGGTCTATGGGTCTCTATGTGAGTGAGTCTATGGGTCTCTGTGTGAGTGAGTCTATGGGTCTCTATGTGAGTGAGTCTATGAGTCTCTGTGCGAGTCGCCGCGGTTGCAGCTTAATCCCAGAGTTGGAGCTCAGATGGCCGGGGGCCTCCAGGGCACAAGCCCGCACCTGTGTATCGACAGGTGCGGGCGAGCACAGGTGAGAGCGAGCTCACCTGTGTAACGACAGATGAGTCCTAGCTCACCTGTGTAACGACAGGTGAGTGTGAGCTCACCTGTGTATCGACAGATGAGTCCTAGCCCACCTGTCGATACACAGGTGGGCTAGGACTCACCTGTCGATACACAGGTGAGTCCTAGCTCACCTGTGTATTGACAGGTGAGTCCTAGCTCACCTGTGTATCGACAGGTGAGAGCGAGCTCACGGTGCGGGTAGTGTGGGACAGGTGGGGGAAGGGACAGGTGAGTGGAGGACAGGTGAGTGGGGGGGGGGACAGGTGGGTGGGGGGGGCAGGTGGGGGGGACAGGTGGGGTGGGGGGGGACTTCACACTTTTACCTTTTGCCAACAGGTGCGAATGCACACACAGCAGACAACGTTTCGCCCGTACAGCCCACGCAGGCGGCTGCTAGGGGGGTGGGTGGGGTGCTTAGGTGAAGTGCAGTGAGCGGCAGCAGCAGCAGCAGCGCTGTGGCACACGCCAGGGTGGTGGTGGTTGGTGGCCAGAATCGCGCCCACCCGGCCGCCTTTGTCTTCCCAGTGGGTGATGGGTGTTGTTGATGAATATATACATCATCTAAATCCAAGGCAGATTTAGATGATCGTCCCTGGTGCTGGCCGTGAGCGGGAATCGAACTCGGGTCGCCGGGTTCGTAGCGCATCAATACAATGACCCCCTCCGTGCGCCCATATAGCCTTCGCAGACTGTAGGGGCAAGTGCTGTTAGCGAGCAGCACCTATGAAGGCCGGAACGGTACACGAGGGGGTGGGTGGCCGGCACCACGCCCGACCGCCTTTGTCTCCCCAGTGGCGATGTTTACTACACACCGTACCAGGTTCTCATTTGAGGCTGAGTCGACCTAGGGGAGGCCCAGGGACCGGTTCAGATAATCGTCACCGGTGGTGTTGGCCGTGAGCTGGAATCGAACTCGGGCAGCTGGGTTCGTAGCGCAGCGCTAACCACTACACTACCGCTACCCACACACACACAGACACACACACAAAGGCATACACTCACATACACAAAGATCCCCCATATAGCCTTAACAGACTGTAGGGGCAAGTGCTGTTAGCGAGCGGCACCTATGAAGGCCGGAACGGTACACGAGGGGGTGGGTGGACAGCACCACGCCCGACCGCCTTTGGCTCCCCAGTGGCGATGTTTACTACACACCGCACCAGGTACTCATTTGAGGCTGAGTCGACCTAGGGGAGGCCCGGGACCGGTTAAGACAATCGTCAATGGTGGTGTTGGCCGTGAGCAGGAATCGAACCCGGGTCGCCAGGTTCGTAGCGCAGCGTAGCGCTAACCGCTACACACACATTAACATGGTCCACAGACTAACACTACCCATAGACTAACATTGCCATAGACTAACATTACCCATAGACTAACATTGCCCATAGACTAACATTACCCATAGACTAACATTACCCATAGACTAACATTACCCATAGACTAACATTACCCATAGACTAACATTGCCCATACACTAACATTACCCATAGACTAACATTGCCATAGACTAACATTACACATAGACTAACATTACCCATAGACTAACATTACCCATAGACTAACATTGCCCATAGACTAACATTACCCATAGACAAACAATACCCATAGACTAACATTGCCCACAGACTAACATTGCCCATAGACTAACATTTCCCATAGACTAACACTGCCCACAGACTAACACTACCCAGCTACTCACTCACTAAATCACTCACTCAACCAACCAGCTACTCACTCACTCACCCACTCACTCAACCATGCAACTACTCACTAACTCACTCACCCACCCACCCACTCACATCCCCACTCACTCACCCACATACCCACCCACTCACAT